CAGCGTGGCGTTCGGGGGCCTAGCCCGAGGCTGGACAATTTCCAGGATCGCAGCCTTGATCGGCGTTGTTTGCTCGACACGGTTTTTTTGACGCAGTATCCGCGACTCGAAGGGGGCCCTGGGCATTCACACGTTGCGGGAAAGGTTGCCTGCGTGCCGATCGGTTTGATCCGCGCGAATCCCCAAAGACAAGGGGCTCAGCTGCATGCGCTAAATACATGCATACAATGCAGCGGGCGAATTGGCGGCCGCCGAATGGCGCTGACGAGTGGGTTTTGCGCTGGATTGGCACCCCACGTCATATGGGGAAGAGAGGGCGGTGCCCAGTGTTCTGGGCTTTCAGGGCGTTCTTCCCCCAGATTTTCAGGTGAAATTGCGGTTTGGCCGGGAGGTGAGACGAGTTCTTGCGTAGCTTTGTAATGAGAAGGACTAGGATCGGCAATGGCGGCGATTGGTCCTCCTGGGAAGAGTGGCAGAGAGAGGTTTGAGTGTGCGCGTGAGCCATGAGAAAGAGAGGGGGACCGGCAGAGAATGCCCCGCCATGGGCCAAGCTAGATGTGCCCTAGGTTAAATGAGCGGTTCTGATCAGATCAGATCAAATCAGATCCCGAATGAATAAATGAAGAGGAATCCCAGGATCAACAACATTCAACAACAATCAACAATAACCGACGAACCCCCGAAGTACGTAAAAAGTCGCCACACGTGACGCCTTCCTGAACGGGAAACTGCAAGTGTTTTGGGGGATTGTTTTTTATTTTTCTTTTCTTCCTCTCTTCATTTCACTTCAATTCTTTTCTTGCTTCCACTCACTCCGGCCATTGTCTCTTGCCTCCAGGTTATTTCCTGTCAACCTCTCTGGAATGTTCTCCGCCGCCAGCAACATCTTTCGCCGGCGGCCTGTTGACCCCGCGCCCGATGCCGCCTCATACCAGGTGCCGCTGTACACAAACGCCGCCTACTACCCCAACTGGCGCATCTATCGCAAGCAGCCTCCCTCTTCACTGCGATTGGGCTTCGTATCTCATGTGTTCTATGCGTTTGCTTGGTAGGTCAATCCTCCCGATCCAATCCTATACTTCGATCCAGGGCGCTAATCTCGATCTGGAAACCTTGCAGGGTAAAAGAAGATGGCACAGTCTACGTAAGATGACCCACAGATTTCGTGCTGACTCTGTTTCTAAATATGGGAAAATCTTGGCTAAACCGGAGTTATAGTTGAGCGACGAATGGGCTGATACCCAGATGGCTGTCGATGGAGCGGAGGGCTGCCTGCGCGCCTTTGTCCAATTGAAACAACAGTACTCGCAAATGCGTGTTATCCTTTCTGTCGGCGGTGGTGGGAAAGGAAGTGAGAACTTTGCCGCTACAGCCCACAGTCGGTCTAAGTTGGAAACATTTGTCCGTAGTGCCCGGCAGCTGGTTGATCAATATGGATTGGACGGTATCGATGGTAAGTCTTGACTATACTCCACCAACCTACGTCTTCCTTTTCTTTTACTGGCGAAATATCCCGCTGCAAACACTTTGAATACTAACCTGTACCTATAGTGGACTGGGAACATCCCGCCAATTCAAAGGAAGGCAAGGATTACGTTCGTCTGCTCTCCAAATTGCGAGAAGCGTTGCCAGCTCCGCGATATGTTCTAGCTACCGCACTTCCGGCCAGCCAGTGGTTCTTGCGCCATATCGACCTGGGGGCTGCGCAGAAATATTTGGATATGATCAACCTGATGACCTATGATTTTTCGGGACCCTGGGAGTCGGAAGCAAACCACCAGGCTCAACTTCACGGCTCACCTATTTCCGGATACTCGTCGGTGGACTATGTACTCATGCAGGGAGTTCCCTCTCGAAAAATCATCCTCGGTGTTCCGGTCTACGGGCGTTCGTTCCTCGGATGTACCGGACCAGGCCAGCGCTACGCTGGCCACGGTGGAGAGGATGGCGTATTCGATTATAGTGAGCTTCCTCGCCCGGGAACAGAAGAAATATATGATGAAAGAGCCGGGGCTGCATACTGCGTCGGTGGTGATGGCGGATTTGTCACGTATGATACCCCTGCGACGGTTAAGCAGAAGGCAGGGTTTGTTACTTCATCGAAGCTGGGCGGACTTTTCTACTGGCACATCGCCTCTGATTCACGGGGACCGCGCAGTCTGTTGGAGACTGGATATAATACCATGCATGAAATGTGAATGGGAAGGGGGGTTGATGATCAAAATAAAACACGACAGAAATATGGGATTTTGGAAAGTGAATGACTGGGCGTATTCTCACCGCAGGCTGCAACAGCATGTCAGCTGCGGATTCTTCTTCTTCTTCTTCTCTCCTTCTTCATTTGCATCGGAGGCTTTTCTGCTTATAATGTGTATGTATAATCGCTAGCGTAATGGTGTGGCCGCGGCTTGGATGCTGCTCTGATATGCCATGATAGTGCATAATAGTGATTGCAAGTGCATAAATTATTGGTTCGGTGATATCGCGGCGATTACAGCCTGCCAGGATCTCCAGGATCTCCATGGCCGAGTGTGGTGGATCAGTCCACTCCGTCCACCTTCAGCGCCGTCGCAGCCGAACGCCGAGGCACGTTTGGAACCCCCAGAATGTGCCAACCTCCTTCAACTTCAAGCTTTCCCCTCCTTTCTACCCCAGGTTTCTTCCAAGGTTCTTTTCATTCTCCCTGGTTTCTTCTCCACCGAATCTGTCAAAATATAGTCTGGCAGTAAATCTGTCTACCACTTTTACTTCCTCCCCGATGATGCCCTCCCAGCTTCCTCAGCCCGCGACGGCGGAGAGCGGGTCCATCACTCAACCGGCCGCGTTGGACAACACCTACACATCCGATACCAGTCTCCAGCGGTCGTTACAATGTGAGTTTTTTTTTTTTTTTTTTTGTATATTTCGAAAGAATTTTCATATCCTGATCCATCCTAGGGTATCTTCCATCGAGCACACTACGATCTACCGAGTCTCATTTCACTCAACTTGGCGCCGAAGCTGTCTCTGATCAGGTGCGCGAGTGGAGTGCTGATGCCGAACGCAACCAGCCCTATGTCAAAAGTCACAACGTCTGGGGTAAACGATACGACTTTGACCGACTTGTGACCACCGAGGGCTGGAAGCAGCTGGGCCACTGGGGTGCTCGTAATAAAATCGTGTCCGCTGGTTATGATCCCACCTTTGGACTTGAAAGACGAACTGTGCAATATGCGCTGTAAGAATGATCGCACTCTCCGGGAAAGACTGGTCTGGGACTGAGGATTTCGTATAGTAACTGATTATCCCTTTAGGAATTACTTATATGCCCCTTCGTCGGGTCTTTACTCCTGCCCGATTAGTATGACCGATGGTGCTGCTTTTATTCTTGCACCTAGGCTGAAGGAATTACCTGCGAACCATCCATTTCACACTGTCTTCAAGGGACTTACCTCGGAGACAAATGATCATTGGACATCGGGTCAGTGGATGACCGAGCGAGCTGGAGGAAGCGATGTTCAGAATACCGAGACCTGGGCGACCCATTCGCCACTCACAAAGTCTGCGGGTGTGGATGCATTGGGAGAGGGAGAATACCTAATCAATGGATTCAAGTTTTTCTCCTCTGCCACAGACGCCAATGTCGCACTTCTCTTGGCCAAAACGCCATCAGGAAAGCTGAGCACATTCCTCGCGCCGCTACGCCGAACAGTGGTAGGAGAGGATGGAGTTTCTCGCCAGGTTTCAAACGGCGTGAGAATCCATCGATTGAAGAATAAGCTTGGCACGAAGGAGCTGCCGACCGCTGAGCTAGAGTTGAAGGATATGCGGGCCCATCTGGTCGGTGAAGTTGATCAAGGTATCACCACCATCGCACCTCTTCTCAACGTGACTCGGATTCACACATTTGTCGGGTCTCTATCCGGATGGCGCCGAGCTCTCAGTATCACCAAAAGCTTCGCAAAGGCTCGATCTACCGTCGGAGAACCCTTGTGGCTTATCCCTATGCATCTGCGACTCTTGGCCGATTTAGAAGTCAAGCATCGCGGTGGTATGAACCTTGCCTTTTTCACCGTTGCCGTGATGGGATTGGTGGAAAACAAGGTCTCTCAGCCCTCGGAGCTAGCACACCTGCCCCGCCCAGGTAAAGAAGCCAACGTCGTATTCCGCACTTTGACCGCCACTGCAAAAGCTGTGGTAAGCAAGATGTCTATTCTGGGAATCCAAGAATGTCAGGAAGCCATGGGCGGCGTGGGTTATATGGATGAGGCAGATGAGCCTGAGTTTAATATCTCGCGAATTCTTCGAAACACTTCAGTCAACTCTATCTGGGAAGGAACTACAAATGTCCTGGCTAGCGAAATGGTCCGATTCCTCATTAAAGGAAATAACCTAGAGATCTTTGCCGGTTGGCTTGATCGAATCTTGGGCTCGATTCGTACACAGAGTCTCCGGTCTACTTTAATCAGTGCGTGGTCAGCACTGCGGACGAGATTTTCCCCGAAGAGCCAGTTGCCTGCGGCTATTCTGGCCGACGCACGCCGCTATATGTTCACTCTTGCTTGGATTATGTGTGGTGCGCTCTTGGCTGTTGATGCGGAGCGAGATAATGATCCTGTTACTACGGAAATTGCCCGACGCTGGGTTCTGGACGCCGAGGGTGGTGTTGGGGACAACGTTTTCCACGACATTATCACAGTGCAGAACGATCAGAGTAGCGATTCAGATGGTGAGAAGCACCTCCAGTGGGACTGCAGAATTGCATGGGGCGTCGAACTACCGGCTCAACGAGCGTCCGGTCATCGCTCCTTGCAAACTGCCAACTCCAAACTGTAAAGCCCCTTAAGCTCTAGTCTGAGAATCTGTATATAGCAGCTTCAAGTTGAAAATATTGATCTAAATATTGTATACCACTACCTGTCTATAGTAGATACCTTGTGATCCTGCCAGCACCAGACTTAAACTAAGACCAACTGACTTGATTGTCACTGTATACATAAGATTTACTACAATATCACTGATTAAATCTTGGCTGCTCGGTATCCCAAAGAGGCATCCGAAGGCAGATCCACGTTCCAAACTATACGGCAGTCCAGTTCAGTACGCGCACGACCTGTCGGTTTTCCATCTTGAGCTGTAGCAGATCGCTGGAAGATGAGTTCAGTGAAAGCAAATTCCCCCGGCACTCCCTGGCCTTCCAATACCCACCTTCTGGCCACCTCACGAGCAACCCTATCATTATCTCTCTGAGAATCCAGAGAGAGAAGAACTCCACACACCAACCAAGAAAGTGTAAAGATGATTTGACGGGCGACTCCAAGAAGGTGGGACAAGGCTCTCTCATCACGGCCAGAGTCCAGTCGGTCTTTAAGTCGACGCCAGACATTTTGGAGAGTGGCTTTGTAGGCAATGTCGGAAACTTGACCGATGACATCGCGCATCCATTCATCAAAGAGGTCTAGATTCTTTCCCTTGGTCAGATGGCGCACTGTTTCACTGGCGAGAACATTGGTAGTGCCCTCCCAGACGCTGTTGCTCGCGGTGTCTCGCCATAACCGGCTAACATTGAACTCGGGCTCTTCAGGCTCGTCTTTTTTGATTTAATGTTAGTATTTAATGAATCAAGAGAGAGAAATAGATGCTCTTACCGATATAACCCACGCCTCCCATCGCTTCCTGGCATTCCTGGAAGGCCAGTGTAGCCGACTTGCATATAACAGCCTTGGAGGTAGAGGTAAATGCGCGCAAAACAACATTCGCAGCTCTCGAATTATTTGCAAGAACTGAAAAGACATCAGGAGCATCGACAGGGAATCCATTATCCACATAACCTAACAGCGATGAAGTAAAAAAAGCAAGCTGCATCCAGCCACGATGCTTAACCTCAAGTTGCGCCAACACATTCAAGTGCATTGGAAATGTCCAGAGGGGCTGATCAATTGTGGTCCGAGATTTGGCAAATGCCTTTGCGATATCCATGGCACGACGAAGACACGACAACGCCGTGATGAAATTGTGGGTGCGAGTGACATTTAACAATAACGCAATTGTTGGAATACCGCGGTCTTTGGGACCTATAAGGTGAGCTCGTACGTCACGAAGCTCGACCTCTGCTGTAGGTAGTTCTTTTGTGCCCATTTTGTTTTTGAGACGGTGAATGCGAATACCATTGGATATCTTTTTCGATTTTCCGGTAGCGGTATCCTTCTTGGATATAGTGGTCGGAGCCACGAAGAGTGAAAGTTCTCCTGACTCGGTTTTTGCTAACAGTAATACCGTGTCGCAATCGGTCGCGCTACAGAAGAACTTGAAACCTGAGAGTAGATAGTCGCCTTCTTCCATATTGCCGAAACGACCGGTCTTGGAAGAAAGTGGAGAGTATGTGGCAACAGTCTCGCTATTACGAACATCACTGCCTCCTGGTCGCTCAGTCATCCATTGCGCAGAGATCCAGTTGTTTTCCCGAGCAATGAGACGAGCATAGAGTTCGTGGAAGGGATGGTCTGTTGGGAGCCCAGGGAGTTGGCTTCGGACTAAACGTGCAGCGCCAGAGGTCATCGAGACTGGACACGAGAAGGCGGCGGATGAAGCAGAGAACAGATAGTTGCTGGTTGATATTAGCAGGATGCCTCATAAGAGAGACGGAAAGGACAATTTCTTACAATGCGTGCTGGACGGTACGACGATATGGACCAAATTTATCCTCATAGCCAAGTCCCACCACACTATTTACCAACTAGTCAGTATGCTTGCTGTATAGTAAAGGTCGTTTACTCGCAGTAATTCAGACTCACCCATGCTTAATCCCCCATTTCCCCAGTTCCTTCCAGCCTTTACTAGTGACCAAGCCTTCTGCTTCATGCCGTGAGCCCCATACATTGTAGGACTTGACGTATGGCTGCTGGGATTCTGCATTTCCGATCAAATCATTGGTCTCGTCCGAAATTGCATCGGAGCCGAAGGATTGCAGCCCCGGGGCAATTTTTGCCAGAACTTCTTTGGAAAGATGCCCTAAGAAGGAAATGTTAAATCTTTAGATCAAAACAAAAAACACCCAACGCAACGGGCGATCGTACATTGAAGTATGCGCTGGAAGACTCGATCGTTTGTCCCTGGGTTTTCCAACGCAGCAGGCGAGAGGATAAAACCCCCATCTACTGTAGAGGGCGACAGTTGCTTCCCCATTGTGAGTTACTGAAAAAAGAACAAAGGCCGTTAGGTGGTATCGCTCATATTTCCTTTCGCATTCTTCAAGTTGTCTTATACCCTGCTCGGGCCTAATATGCGGGGTCCGATCTTTCCTAACGCTTCGTCTGCCGACGATGACATCTGGTTTGCCGAGCAGGCACACCGATGTCCACCGACGATCACCGAGAAATACCGGACGGAATGCTGATGGATGGGTCATGAAGCTATTATCCGACCTAGCGACTCGCAAAATGCGGGGAATTCCACAGTGCCCGGTGCCGTTTTCCGGTGAGGCACAGTACTATTAATTCAGAGAGTGGTTTCCAGTCAACGATTTTACCCATCACCAACTTTCTTCAAATTCAAATAAATAAATCATTGCTGAGAGTCAATTCAACAACAATGGCCAACTCTACGCCCGAGGGCGATGTCTCGAAACCTCGCCCCATCTGGACCCCTTCCGTACCGCAAGATGAGATTCCGATGAATATATACCGCGCACATATCAATCGCAAATTCCACCAAAATCTCCAATCTTCTCAAGAGCTACACCAGTGGTCCGTGGAAAACTTACAGGATTTCTGGGTTGATCTCCATCAATACACTGGCATCATACCATCCTTACCCTCTCATATCACCACCGCATTCGATGCCACCACTCCTATGGAGAAAGTTCCTGAATTTTTCAAGGGTGCGAAGGTCAATTATGCTGAGAATGTACTTTCCGGTCGTGATTTGGAGAAAAGAGCCCTGATCGGACTTCGCGAAGGTCAAGATCTTAGCGGAAAGGTGTGGACGTGGGCTCTTTTGCGAGAGAATGTGCGCAAAGCGAGAAGTGCACTGCTTCAGCTTGGTGTTCGAGAGGGAGATCGAGTCGCGGCGGTTATCTCAACTAGTGTTTGGTCGGTAGGCCTTTTTCTCGCTACGGCAAGTATCGGCGCTATTTGGACGAGTATTGCGCCGGATTTGGGTGAAGAGGTAAGAAAGGAGATGATAGGTATCTGTCAAGGTGGAATTTGTGATCTGATAATTTGTTAGGGATGTTTATCACGCCTGCAACAGGTCACGCCTAAAGTCCTTCTTGCCGATGGGGAATCGACCTATAAAGGCAAAATGCGATCCAATGTGGACAAGATTCGCAATATCGTGCAAGCCTTGAAGATCAAACCCCGAGTATTTCTAATCCCAATACTGGGATGCATGAGCCGGTGTTTCCTAGTCTTGACGACTTCTTGTCTGAATCAAGACCAGAGCATGAGTTGGAATTCAAGAGAGTTCCGTTCTCTCACCCACTCTACATCCTTTATACGAGTGGGACCACCGGGCAGCCAAAGTGCTTGGTACATAGCCACAGCGTGATCCTACAGCACAAAAAGACATCTGTGCTGCACAACTCTTTAACCGAGAATGACATTGTATTCCAGTATAGCAGTACTTCATGGGTATTGTGGAATATCATGATTGGCCATTTATCAGTCGGACCGACTTTGATTCTTTACGACGGCTCACCTTTGTGGCCCAGTGCAAAGGGAATGGCGAGTATCGCTGAATACCATCGTGTATCATATTGGGGATGCTCACCTCGCTACCTGCAGGAGCTAGAGATGACCAGATGTATTCCTAAAGATGAGTTTGATCTTTCATCGCTGAGAATGGTACAAACAGGTGGTTCTCATCTGGGCGCAGACCAATATCACTGGTTCTATCGGGCATTCCCTCCTCGTGTTCACCTCACTAGTGTAACAGGGGGTACAGATCTGGTCACTTCATGGATTGGAACTGATCCGGCTGGGCCGTTATATCCCGGTGAAATCCAGCTACCTATGTTGGGTCAGGATGTGGATGTTGCAGATCCCAGCACGGGCGAGTCGGTCAAGTCTACCGGCAAACATGGCGAGTTTGTCTGTCGCCAGCCATTTCCATCCATGCCAGTATTTTTCTGGGGAGATACGAACGGGACCAAGTACAAGGATACTTATTTTGACAAATTCAAAAATTGCTGGGCTCAGCATGATTGGGCCAGTTACAACCCTTTGACGAAGGGATGGCAAATTCATGGTAGGAGGTGAGATCTACGAGAAATAACCTATAAACCCAAACATTTCCTTTTGTTGACAGTAAATTTTAGTGACGGCGTGTTGAACCCACAAGGCATTCGATTCGGATCATCTGATATCTACTCAATTACCGAGTCAGCGCCGTTTAACAAAGTCATTTCGGCCACGCTCTGCATTGGAAGACGCCGGCCGCATGACACGGACGAGGAGGTATTTCTCTTCATTGTGATGCAATCTGAGAAGTCCTTCACTACCCAACTGGCTTTGGAGCTCAAGGATGCCATCCGGAAAGGGTTGAGTAGCAAGCACGTCCCTCGCTTCATCATCGGCGTCAAGGAGGTTCCAATGACCGTCAATGGAAAGAAGATAGAGACTTTGGTAAAACAGGTCGTATCTTCGGGAAAACTGCCAGCAACTATTAGCAGTACTGTGGCAAACCCCGACTGTTTGAATGACTTCATACAGTACTATGAGCTCGAGACGACAAAAGAAAGGAGAGGGAAGCTATAGATGATGTACAGTTCTCGATTCCATAGAGATAGATAGTCAAATGGTGGCAATTGATAGATTTGTTGATGGCTACTAGTACGTTGCCGGCAACCATGTTCAACATAGATTCATCCTACTTCGTTGGACTACAACATGTGTAATATTTAGTGTGAGAAATCGATTTTGCACCGACGAATTGGGTAGATTTCAGCTATGTAGCGACTCTTTGATTATAAAGGGAATGGATTACTGAATGGGAGATATTTTTATTGCCGTCGCTGATATCATAGTCATCAAATATTCAGTAACCAAGACCCACTCCAATCAAAGCCAGAGCCTTCCCAGTTGGTACTGAATGTCTCCAAATTCGTGTCAAGCGGAGGAAAACTGTAAGTATCAACAGTGTCATCTGGCCGAGCATCAAACGGTTGCAGCGCGTCGTCGGTTTCTTGTACCTCTGCCAACGTACAAGTGCGTTCCGCTCTTGAATTTGTCGCCGGCTCAGATGTGTGTCCTATCAAGCTCCACTGTTTGCAGAGTTTCATGTCAAACCCCTCGAAGAACGAAGCTGTATCTGTATCCAGGGCTGGTGGGGGCCCGTCAAGGAAGCCTTGCTCCCGGACCTTTTCGGTCAATTTGTTCAGTGCTCGCAGCGGTCCGACGGCGGATAGCCACCTTTCGGAAAGTTTTTGGAGAGACAGTTTCATGACTGTTAGTTCATGCTCTGCTGTGCTTTGTAGCTGGGTGTAGCGGCAACATGATAGTAGTGATAGCCCGGCGCAGAGTGGGTAGAATGCAAAGACGGGCCCCAAATAGCGAAGTTCGTCACGTAGTAGAAACTCCTCATATATACCGGCGATGAAAGAGGACGCTACCAATGACGCGGCTGGAGGAACACTGTTTGGCGTGGGAGATCGATGAATGATGGTGAGGACGACGAAGTACATGACTAAGAGCTGTTGAACCTCATGGTGGGAAGTAATGGCATCTTCTTGCATCGCGGCCGAGGAGTGCAATTTAGGGAAGACCTGCTTTGCCCATCTGTACACTGCATTTTCTAGATCGACTCTTCGCTGCCGAGATATCTCCCGCCGGAGGTAGCATTCTACCGTGTCGCCCAGGTGGCATGATATCGTGCAATATGCGAGGAATAGTTGAGCTTGGAAGTTCCAAGCGGGGAAGTCGTTCATTGACGGAGGGAGCACGTCGCTGTCTCTCAAGTTGATTGTTCTCGGTCGACCTACTCCGACTGAGATAACATTATCGCGAATCTAGAGCAGTTAGTTAGTACCAGCCTTATAACAAGTATAGAGAAGCAATCGAGGAAAGCCACATACAACCAATGACCACCATAATCGCCGGCGAAGGCCGCGGTCCTTCGCATTTGGCGGTGGCTCCTTATGCAATCCAATCTGGAATGCCATCGCTCCAGCGGTGCGGATCCAGAATCCACTAGTATCTGTTGAGACATCCTCAGGTCCCACGGGGTTATACCAATGTAGCAGGCAAGCGGCCACAATGGATATGAGCGAGTTATTGCCTCCGCCAAAGAAGAAGAGTAGCTTCGCGCGTCGATAAAAGACCTCACTGGAGGCATAGTCCAAATGCGCTTTGGAAACCCGACTGCCAGCCAGAAAGATGGATTGCAACAGAAGCATGGAGGGAGGCGTGCCTTCGTCCAGCCATTTCAGGTCAATGACGGGGGTCCAAGGCAAGCAGTACTTATTGAAGCTGGCCATTAGTTCTATTTGCACATATTCGGGGGGGTAATTCAAAGGCCCCCTGGTCACGCAGCATCTGCAAATCGGCAGCGGATGTCTTGGGGCTTGTCGTCTCATGGCCAGGTTTCACCATGTTCTCGTCAAACGGCACACTCCCGCCCAAGTACTCGCTCCGCCCGCGGTAGCTTTCTTCTTTGATGACCGGTTCACCATTGTTTACCGGAAGTGGCAATGGTTCTATAGGCAATACATTGTCTTCGTAGGGACTTGCCGATGACAGACGCGCGACTCTATCGATGGGCGCGTCTTCAGCGGGAAGCTGTGAGCTGCGCCGACTCAAAGGGTCGGCCGAATTCACGTCGCGACTGGGCGACAGACTGTTGGTGAAACGCTTGCGCTTACGTGTATATGGTCTGCGATGATTAGAACTTGATCCAACGAATGCTTGAGTCAAGCGGGTCCTGTCTTCTCACCTGCACTCCACCTCGGACTTTTTGCAGTTGGTGCAGGGATTGTGGGTCGCCAGGTCGCAGCGCACCTGGGAGAATTCGATCAGTTCAATCCAGGATGGTCAGGTTTCGTTGGGCAGGGGACGCAGGGACCTTCACCGACCTTTCGTTTATGGCAAATGATGCACGCAGACGACATGTCGTCGACCTGGGGGGTGGTTGGAGGGGAGAAAGTGTGGGGGGTTGAGCCGAGGCACTCGGGTTCCTCTTGAATGCGGCCAACTCCAACTCCAACTACATCTACAACTACATGCCATGGCTATCACATAGTCTCAACAACATCAGAATGGCAGATAATTCAGTCATTGTCAATACAGCCTCGCACCCCGGCATATCAATCATTCAGATCAATCGTCCCCATAGAAAGAATGCAGTAGACTCTGCAACTGCCAAGGAGCTTTACAATGCCATCCTCGCCTTCGAAGCCGATGCATCACAGAAAGTCTGCGTGTTAACTGGCACAGGCAGCACTTTCTGTGCCGGGGCCGATCTTCATCAAGTCGCACAAAAGAAAGATAACGACGCTCCTGGCGAGAATCTCCAGCCCGTCAATGGGCGCAACCTGGGTCCCATGGGTCCATCAAGGTTGATGATTCAGAAACCAGTGATTGGAGCAGTCGCCGGATATGCAGTTGCAGGAGGGCTCGAGCTGAGTTTGCTAGCAGATATCCGGGTGGTGGAAGAAGATGCAGTCTTTGGGGTATTCTGTCGCCGTTGGGGCGTACCATTAATTGACGGGGGAACGGTGCGCTTGCAAGCCATCGTTGGTCTTGCTCGCGCTCTCGATATGATTCTTACTGGCCGACCAGTTGAATCCAAAGAGGCTCTGGCGATGGGACTGGCTAGCCGGGTTGTGCCTAAGGGGGAATCGTTGCAGCATGCTTTGGACATCGCCAAGCAGCTCATCGCATTCCCTGAACTTTGCATGAATACCGATCGTCGTTCATGCTATTACAGCGCGTATGAGGCATCTTCTTTGGAAGATGCGCTCTCGTACGAGTTCCAGAACGGCAGCAAAGTCATCTCGAAAGAAGCCGTTGCTGGTGCAGCCAAGTTCAGTGGAGGGTTGGGCAGACATGGCAGCTTCAAGGAGTCTGGGAAGTTGTGATACGTGAACTTAAAGAGAGACAAACAAGTACTGAAAAGAAAATTGCTAGTATACATTAACTGTGGTATCGGGTCTCGGTCGAGGGCTTTGTCTATCTATCATGGCTGTGGCCATTGGAAATCATAACCTGCGAAACATGCGAGATTAATTCTTTATAATCTTCACGGATTCCGGTTGTTCGAAATCTGATGTCATTTGATGTGTCCGCGGAAAATCAGTTGGTCTTCTTATCATCCTCCTCGATGACCTCCGGCACAAATTGGACTCGCTTGCCGTATACGAATGGGGTCCGTGAGATCAACGACCCAGCTGCGTAACCGATGTATGCACCAGCAAGGATGGTAATAGGAAAAGTTTGCCAGGGGCGGTCCCTTTAGAGATGTCAGCCAAATGATTTCATACTTTGGAAGCATCTTTCTTAAAAAAAAAATCAATCCAACTTACCAGTCCAGAGGGATCGGTATGGCACCAAACCAAGCACCAAGTCCAGTACCCAGGGCACCACCCCAAACTGCATCAGCAGGTCGAGCGATTCCCCAGACCTCCTTCCACACCGAGCCGTCGGTACCGTGAACGTAAACCAAGCTAGACGCAGAAAGGACTGCCATGTGGGCAGCGCAGAGCACGGTCTCCGCGTTGTGTGTTGTCAAGGGAGCACCAAACAAGACCAGGAGAGCGGCGAGGACGGGGGTCGCGATGAAAGTTGTAAGAGTGACGGACAGGAGTGCAGGCTAAACCAATAATTGTGAGCAACTAGTACAAATACACTACGCGTATCACTTGCTTTGCAATGCCGCGGAGGAAAGAAGTGGACATACCATCAATCTGGCCCAAAGACCAGCCCAGACATTCTTCCCAGAAGCTTGCTTTCGGCGATGGCCCGATTTTCCAGGACGAGGAGCTGAAGGGGAGCGAGGCGAAGCCTTCTTCTTCTCTTCGTTGTCGCCGGAGCTAGCGGTTTCGAGGGATCCAGCTGGCGGAACGCAGAGGATCACGAAGAAGAGTTGCAGCAGTGCCAGCCATGGCAGATCATTCAATAATTCCTGGACGGGATTGGCGACCACTGCTTCGAAGCGCGATGCCGCAAGTGTCAGGAGGAGGGCGGGATGCACGAAGGAGTAGATTCGAGCCAGCTGCGAAGGCAGGATATTGACGGGAGGCGCAGAGGGTTTCTCGGCGGGGGGTTGAGACATGGTGGCGGTGTTCACGGTGGGGGACGAGGTAGTTGAAGCCATGATGCGCGCATTGAAGCTCACCAGGCACAGGTATACACAGTCTCGCAGCTGTTCTGAACCTGAGAGGACCCGGTTGGCTCGGCAGTGAAGAGGTGAAGGGAATCGCCCGGTCGGGCTTGGCGTGTTGCGGTTGGTTCTTGGCGGTCAGAGCTACGAAGTATGAAGTACACAGACTACGAGTACGGCGTTATATATATGAGTTTGAGATTGGTTATACCCAGGGCGGCTTATAACTTCAATTTACTAGTTGTAATTTGTTAGTATTCAGTAAGTGTTTACTGTACTACTATTGAATTGAGCTTCTGGAGTTGTCGCCAAAGTTGGAGGCTGATCTGTATATCATTATTCCCTTCGGTTTGACTTCAGCGTAGATCGTACAGCAGCTTGAATTTACAAGATATGATACATTCGTTACTGTGAAAAAGATCCCTTGCAAGCAATCAATAAAAAACAAAGTTTAAGCGCCGTTCTTTTCGACATATCCCCATCTTAAGAGGAATCGCAGCAACACCCTAAACAGACCCAGCTAGGTAACAAGGGGGCAGGGAAAGGGTTGGGACAAATAAAACAAAAGACAGACCGGCTGCAATCACATAGGGACGTACAATCATACCACGTATCAGCGTGACCAAGAAATATGAAGGAGTATATGGGCTCCAAGGATGCGACGCAGGGAAGCGAAGGGGAGGGGGGTAAGAGGGGTAAACTGAAAGGGGAGGGAATCTCGCAAGAGAGCAAAGTAGTTCTCGAATGCCCAATGGATGCAAAGCGCAAAAGCAAGAGCAAGAGCACTAGGTGGAAAGGAGGCGAGAAAAAGCAAAGTCGTTCGGGATGTGAAAACCACGCGCTAACAAAGTCAAGATTCAACCCACGACCAACAAGTCAACTGCCACCTTTCAGACAAACAGAACGCCTGTAGAAGTAGATATAAGAACCATTAGGATTCTCTGGATATTCGACAATGACGACGCTAGGGAAGGGGAAGAGAGGGGGAAAAAAGGAAGATGTGGAATGATAACTATCATCCAGCTTCTCGGGTTCAAACTGTCGATTCTTTCTGGGCATCTGCCTGACCTTCTGCCTTTGACACGCCTGACCCATCCGTGGGCGTCGCGGTCGATACCGGTTGGGTATTTGAAGGAAGTGGTTCTTTTTGCTCAGATACTGGCGGCGCGGTAACCGCTTCTGGACTGTGTGGCTCCTCCGGGATCGATGGAGGCAATCCCGCTCCAGGCAGTGGGGAGACTGGTGAGCGGACAGGCTCTTCCTTGGCTTGTTCAGTGGGAACTTCGACGGAGGGCTTGCTAGCCGCCTCGCTGGACGGAGGAGACAATGGCTGGCTGGGCGCTGGGTCGCTGTCTTGGTTTGGGCTCTTGGCCCGCTCACGATCATCCTTCACAACCTGCGCAACCTTAGCCTTGAATTTGCCAAACAGGCTTTTCTTCTCGGGTTCGGTGCCAGATGTACCGCTGCTCGAGATGCCAGCATCCAAGCTAAGGGGTTGACTGGAAGGATCATTGCTCTGTTGATGCCCACTGCCGAAAGAGGTAGTACTATGTTCAGCACCCGGGTTGGTGGCTGCTAAGGGAGGAGATGCCAGCCCAAGTCCAACGTGCTCACTACTGCGCTTAGCAGTGCGGTGGAATCTCCAGCTACGCCTGTGCTCTCGACGCTCGGAATGAGTCCCTTCCTCGTTTTGCTCTAGGTCCGACGCGTCGGTGAAGGAGGAGCGAGAGTTCATGGACGGGGTGCGTGATTGATGTGGTCGCAATGAGCCCTCCGTAGCATGTTGGATGGAGCCATCCACGAGTGCTGGATTGGACTCTGAAGAATGAGCTTCCCTGTTCAAGGTCGCGGTGTTCGGGGGTTTGGGAGTCGTGTCACCAACAGCAAGATCCATGGGTGGCGGCTCACGCCTTGTATCCAAAGCGATCTCCGCAATGTTGATATCCGATGGGGTACCGTGGAGTGAATTGGACGAGCTCTGTGCACTAATGCTAGCGCTTCCTGGTATCCGCCTCTTCTGTAGACGTTTGGGCTGACGCGGCTCCTTGTGATCTCCGTCTGGGGGTGGGGATTTACTAAAGATGCTTGAGAGTTTGCGTTCGCGTGTTGGCGTCACAGCCTGAAAGGGCGGCGAAGCGGGGGTCTGTGTAGCTTCTTGCGACTGAGAAGGAGTGCTGATGCTCAGGCGTTCAGCTGCAGCGATAGGGACCGGGCCGTGAGTCGAGGTGTGAACAAGTGTGGTACCCTTCGATGAGGTGGTAGTTAGGCTGGGATTGCGTTGTTCAGTGGTGGGTTCTGATTTTGGTTCTTCTTTGGGCTCGGCCTTTTGTTCCATTTCCTCTTGGAGCGAAGGGGCTCGACTGGCCGAGCGAGAGCTCTGGTGGGAGACCGAAAGTCCAGACGGCGTGGAGCTGTTGTTTTCATTTGCTCGCGCGAAACGCGCAGATGTCAAAACTGGGCCCATTTTGGACGGAAGGGTATTGCTTCGGTGAACACCACCCCCAGACGTAGGAGTGCCTGGGCTAGGAGCCGTATTTGAAGTACGTGAATTGCGGGAAGAGACGGATACATTGCGACGCAGCGTGTCCAACTTGCGGTTGCTCTCGTTGCTGTTGCTGGCGCTGGATGCCGATCGGCGGATATTTGAGGCTGTCGTTGTGGGCCGGGACTGAATGCCAGCTTCGACCTCCTTGACCTGCTGTTCATCGGCTCCAGTTCCACTCATACCCACCAGGAAGTGATCTTGATTCTCGATGAGGAAGATCAAAACATCCTGGCTCAGCTTGTATT